ACGAAAGAGGTGAAAGATCTCTACAAGGTGAACTATAAAATACTGCTGAAATAAATCACAGATGATACAAACACAAGGAAAAACATCATACACTCATGGATTGGAAAAATCAATATTGTTAAAATTGCCTTACTGCCCAAACTAATCTACAGAGTTAATACTATTACTATCAAACTACATACAACGTCACTTATAACAGAATTAGAAAAAAATTTTCTAAAATTTGCATGGAATGAGAAAAGAGTCCAAATAGACAAAATAATTCTAAGCAAAAAGAACATAACTGGAGGCATCACATTACCCAAGTTCAAACTATACTACAAGGCTACAGCGAGCAAAACAGAAGCGTACTGGTACAAAAATAGACACATAGACAAATGGAACAAGATAGAGGATCTGGAAATAAAGCTGCACACCTACAACCATTTGATTTTCAACAAGTCAACAATAACAAGCAATGGGAAAAAAACTCTCTATTCAATAAACGGTGCTGGAATAACCGGCTAGTCATATGCAGAAGAATGAAATAGGATCCTTATATTTCACCATGCACAAAAGATAACTCAAGATGGATTTAAGAATTATATATAAGACCTAAAACTGTAAAAATCCTAGAAGAAAATCTAGGAAATACCCTTCTCAATATCACCCTTGGCAAAAATTCTAGGAAATACCCTTCTCAATAAAGAATTTACGACCAAGTCTCCAAAAGCAGTTGCAACAAAAACAAAAGTTGACAAGTGGGAGCTGATTAAACTAAAGAGCTTCTGCACGGCAAAATAAACTATCAGCAGAGTAAACAGACAGCCTGAGGAATGCAACAAAATATTCACAAATTATGCATCCAACAAAACTCTAATATCTAGAATCTATAAGGAACTTAATTCAACAAGCAAAAACCAAATAACTCCGTTAAAACGTGGACAAAGAACATGAACAGACACTTCTCAACAGAAGACATGTATGTCACAAACAAGTATCAAAATGCTCAACATCACAGAAGTGCAAATCAAAACCACAATGAGATACCATCTCATACCAGTCACAATGGCTATTACTAAGAAGACAAAAAACAAAAAACGAAAACAAAAAAAACACACAGATGTTGGCGAGGTGGTAGAGAAAAGGGAATGAAAATTATTTCAGCCACTGTGAAAAGCAGTTTGCAGTTTCTCAGAGAACTTAAAACAGAACTACCACTTGACCTAGCAATCCCATTACTGGGTATATACTCAAAGAAAAATAGATTATTCTACCAAAAAGACAAATACACTTGTATGTTCACTGCAGCACTCTTCACAATAGCAAAGACATGGAATCAACTCAGGTGTCCATCAACAGTGGATTGGATTAAAAAAAAATGTGGTACACATATACTATGGAATACCATGCAGCCTTGAAAAAAGAAAATTATATCCTTTGCAGCAACATGGATGCAGCTGGAAGCCACTATCCTAGGTAACTCAACACAGGAACAGGAAATCAAATACAATGTCTTCACTTACAAGTGAGAGCTGAACCTAAACATTGAGTATACACAGACATGAAGATGGAAACAAAACGCACTGAGTACTACTAGGAGGGAGGTCAGGAGTGGGGTGAGGGTTGAAAAACCACCTATTAGGTACTATGCTCACTACCTGGGTGATGGGATCACTCCTACACTAAACCTAAAGGACATACAATTTGCCAATATAAGAAATCTGTATCCCTTGAGCCTAAAATACAAGTTGAAAAAAAAACTCCAAAAACCTTAGTTTAATTTTATTGCACCATTAACAAATAATTCGCTCACAGACATACACACAAATCCTGAGTCATTTCTACAAATATGTCTCCAAATTGTTCTTACTTTTGAACCTAATTCTATTTATCTTCATTTATATCTGCCTTTCCCAATTATTCTAGTCAAATAAATATCCTTTAAATGCAGTCTTTTAATTTCTAACTGCTTTTCTTTTATCAGGTCCTTCCTCTTATATGAGATAAATACTTATTCTATATCTACCAAGAATCCTTTCTCTTCTGCTTCAAAGACCTATTTTAAGAAACTTTCTCACACATTATGAAGCTTCATCTGTCTCAAGAGTATTTTTCTGTCTCAGGAGTATTTTTATTAGAGAAAACAGGCAATACAAAATGAAATTTCCTTTTAGATTATTAAAATCATTACATTTTAACTTAGATATTTTCTCTATATCCTGAAGTTGAGTAAAAACATGTGCAAGTATATTATTAGATGGAATTTATAATTATAAATCTAAACTTTTCATCTCTGTCTTTCTGTGCTGCAGCATGAGACAATCTACAGCGTAAGTGATTTTGCAGCACATTAATCTGTTCTCTCTCCATGTCATACTTTTCTGCTATGTTGGTATTAATATTATTGCTTTAGTTAGGATAAAATCTCTCTGCGGTGTTGTGTTAGTCTGTTCTCACACTGCTAATAAAGATATACCTGAGGTTGGGTAATTTCTAAAGGAAAGAGGTTTAATTGACTCACAGTTCCACATGGCTATGGAGGTCTCACCATCATGGCAGAAGGTTAAAGAGGAGCATGTGTTACATGGCAGCAGGCAAGAGCGAGTTGTGTATGGGAACTGCCCTTTTATAAAACCATCAGCTCTCATGAGACTTATTCACTATCATGAAAACAGCACAGGAAAAACCCTCCCCCAGTATTCAATTACCTCCTACCAGGTCCCTCCCACGACAGGTGAAAATTGTGGGAGCTATAATTCAAGATGAGATTTGGGTGGGGACACAGCCAAACCATATCATTCCACCCTGGCCCCTCCCAAATCTCATGTCCTCACATTTCAAAACCAATCATGCCTTCCCAATAGTCCCCCAAAGTCTTAACTCATTTCAGTATTAATTCAAAAGTCCACAGTCCAACATATCATCTGAGACAAGGCAAGTCCCTTCTGCCTATGAGCCATAAAATCAAAAGCAAGTTAGTTATTTCCCAGATACATTGAGGGTACAGGCATTGGGTAAATACACCATTCCAAATGGGAGAAATTGACCAAAACAAAGGGCCTACAGGCCCCATCCAAGTCCAAAATCCAATGGGGTGGTCATTAAACCTCAAAGTTCCAAAATAATCTCCTTTGACTCCATGTCTCACATGCAGGTCATGCTGATGAAAGAGGTGGGCTGCCACGGCCTTGGGCAGCTCTACCCGTGGCTTTGTAGGGCACAGCCACCATCCCAGCTGCTTTCACAGGCTGGAGTTGAGTGTCTATAGCTTTTCCAGGCACACTGTGGAAGCTGTGGGTGGATCTACGATTCTAGGGTCTGGAGGACAGTGGCCCTCTTCTCACAGCTCCACTAGGCAGTGCCCCAGTGGGGATTCTGTGTGTGTGGGGTCCCATCCCACAGTTCCTTTCTGCACTGTCCTAGTAGACATTCACGACAGCCCTGCTCCTGCAGCAAATTGCTGCCAGGACATACAGGGGTTTCCATACATCTTCTGAAATCTAGGCGGAGGTTCCCAAACCTCAATTCTTGATTTCTGTGCCTCCACAGGCTCAACACCATGTGGAAGCTGCCAAGGCTTAGGGCTTGCACTCTCTAAAGCAAGGGCCTGAGCTGTACCTTGGCCCTTTTTAGCCATGGCTGGAGCAGCTGGGAAGCAGGGCACCAAGTCCCTAAGCTGCACACAGCATGGGGGCCCTGGGCCCAGCCCAGGAAACCATTTTTTCTTCCTTAGGTCCTGTGATGGGAGGGGCTGCTGTGAAGGTCTTTGAAATGCCCTGGAGACGTTTTCCCCATTGTCTTGGCAATTAACATTTGGTTTCTCATTGCTTATGCAAATTTCTGCAGCTGGCAGAAACGGGTTTTTCTTTTCTACTGCATCGATAGTCTGAACATTTTTCAGACTTTTATGCTCTGCTTCCCTTTTAAACATGTTCCAATTCCAAACCATGTATTTGTGAATGAATAAAACTGAATGCTTAAGAGCACCCAAGTCACCTCCTAAATGCTCTGCTGCTTAGAAATTTCTTCTGCCAGATACCCCAAATCATCTGTCTCAAGTTCAAAGTTCCACAGATCTCTAGGGAAAGGGCAAAATGCCACCAGTCTCTTTGCTAAAGCTTAGCAAAAGTCACTTTTGCTTCAGTTCCCAACAAGTTCCTCATCTCTATCTGAGACCACCTCAGCTTTGACTTCATTGTCCATATCACTATCAGCATTTTGGTCAAAGCCATTCAACAAGTCTCTAGAAAGTTTCAAACTTTCCCACGTTTTCCTATTTCCTGAGCCCTGCAAGTATCCAGGAAGTCTTTCCTATCTTTTTCTGAACCCTCCAAACTGTTCCAACCTCTGCCTGTTACAGAGTTCCAAAGTCGCTTCTACACTTTCAGGTATCTTTACAGTAGCGCTCCACTACCCAGTATCAATTTACTATATTAGTCTATCCTCACACTGCTAATAAAGATACACCCAAGGCTGGGTAATATATAAAAGAAAGAGGTTTAATTGACCCACAGTTCCACATGGCTGCAGAGGCCTCACAATCATGGCACAAGACAAAGGAGGAGCAAAGGCATGTCTTATATAGTAGCAAGCAAGACAGCATGTGTGGGGGAACTGCCCTTTTATAAAACCATGAGATCTCATGAGACTTATTTACCACCATGAGAACAGCACAGGCAAAACCTGCCCCCAGGATTCAGTTACCTCCCATAGGGTCCCTCCCATGACATGTGGGGATTATGGGAGTTACAATTTAAGATGAGATTTTGGTAGGGACATAGTCAAACCATATCAGGTGTTTTATACAACATGTACATTCATTGGGGGGAGAATGGTTACAAGGTTTACTCAATGTGTCATCTTGAGCCAAATTTGAAAAACTCAATAATAGTTAATAATGGTCATTTAATTTAAGCCTTATGATTCTTACACAGGACTGATTTTAACCTTTAAACATTACAAACATCACTTTGATAACTGATTCCAAAACTATTAAGTAATTACTAGTAAATACCTACCTGGGAAAGCATCAAAAGTAATTCTGTCTCCAGGAACAGACCCATTTGGAGGAGCCAAGATTTCAACCTTCTCTGGTGAACTAGCACACATGAGCATTGCTTGAGATAATACTCCCCTCATCTTTGCAGGTTTCAGGTTACAAAGTAAAATCACCATCCGATTTTGCATCTGTATGAAATATAAATTGGTAAGTAAACATGTACACAGATTAAGCCTAATCATATCCAGACTACATTAAGCTACACCTAATATGCTAAGTATCAAATGTTCTACTTTTGTGGATGTACCTTTGTCTTTGTGTGCCCAAAGTCTCTTATTGTTGTTATAAAGCTTTGCATAAACATGAAAAAAAAAATTCCTCCAAATTGATAACACATTATGGTTGAAAGAGCAGAGGAATTTCAGTTAAAAATTTACTGAATGAATAAATAAATGAGTGAAATAGATTTGGTTGTGAATTTCAGCTGCCATTTACTAACAATGAGAATGCATAAAGTTGACATTTCTGTTTCCTCAAAAATGAGAGAAATAATATTGAAGAGTTGTCATAAGGATTAAATCATAATATGCATATAAAGCATTTAGCCTAGCATTAGAATTAAAATGGACACATTTACACATGTGCATTTTCTTCCCTATACATTTGATCATTTCCAGAGCTATGCTACATTTATTTTTTAATTAAAAAAAAAATTGGTTGGGCATGGTAGCTCACGCCTATAATCCCAGCTTCTTGGGAAACTGAGGCAGGCAGATTGCTCGAGCCCAGGGTTTTTTTTCAAGACCAGCCTGGGCAAAATGGCAAAACCTAGTCTCTACAAAAAATAAAAAATTTCCCTGGGCATGGTGGCATGCGGCTATAGTCCCAGCTACTTGGGAGGCTGAGGTGGAAGGATTGCTTGAGTCTGGAGGCTGCAATAAGCCTTGATTATGCCACTGAATTCTAGCTTGGGCAAGAGTGAGACCCTATCTCAGAAAAAAAAAAAAAAAAAAAAGATCACTTAACAATTCCAGCATCATGCAACATGCAACTAACATGCAGGGCTATTTCTACAATTTTTTAATGGAAGCAAATAGAAATTTCTTTAATCTTCAAATTTGAAGTGTCTTAATTTTTTTCTCCAACTAGCAAAAGTGAGAAAAATAGTTATTTAAATTCTTTCAACATGTTTAAAATGAATCATACAAGAGGATTATTGCTTGAAGGAGAAAAAAAGATGTATTCTAGATAAAAGATGGTTTTATAAATAACTGTTATATGCGAATTTACTCTGAAATACTATGATTTTAAAAAATGAGCCTAAGAGTCAAATTCGAAATGAATTAGGGGGTCTTCATAAACAATATTTCTCTTCAAATGCTTCAAATAACTTGACAATGTCACATATATGAGAACTTAAAAGTTACAGCAAAAATGTTTAAGAGTAGCAAAATGATTAGTTAGAAGCAATCCTTTAAGGATCTGATGATAGCTATGAACCTTTTCCCTAGAAAAAAGTACAACCTACAAAATAGAGTATGTAATTTTGAGTACTAAGTGTCCCTGCTTTATAGAATGTCTACTAGTACTATCTTCTTTTTTTTAAAACTTTTATTTTAGGTTGTATCTTGATGGGTTAGATACAGATGTTTATAAAAATAGCTTTGCTTATGGTTGTGAATGATGGCTGCTGAAAGAGAAAAAATAGTCCACAACTTATAAGAACAGAAAAGATGAAGCCCAAATGAGGAGTTTTTCCAATTTAAGCTGGCTCAAGATCAGTTGGTTCTTTTCTCCAGGGCTCCTAACCTCATAAGGAGTTATGAATCAGTCCTGGTCCTATGTAACATAAATATTAAAAAGTAAAAAAAGCACATGCATATGCCAAGTCTATTTCTTTTTTCCTAGATAAGAGAAACTTCACTGATCTCCTTAATTCCATCTTCCTCCCATCAACAGAGCAGCCAGAATGATCCTATTAAAATGTCAGGCTGACCAATGTTATTCTTTTGCTCTAAAATCCTACAATGGCTTTCATCTTACTCAGAAAGAATGCCAAACTCTTTACAATGATCTATAAGACATTTGGCACCCTTATCTCTGATTTCATCTCCCATAACTTTCTCAGTTATTAACCCTGCTCTATTCATATCGGCCTCCTGTTTCTTGAACATCCCAGGCATCTATCTCTCCCAGGGCTGCCTGAAATGCTCTTCAGCCAGGTAAACACATGACTTGCTTTCATTTTCTTAGACTTTTTCTCAAAAGTCACTTTCTTTATGAGGTCTTCCCTGGGCACTTTATATAAAATATCAGTATCATCCTGGCTTTGATACTTATTAGATTCTTTCCCTATTTGATTTTTCTCTTGGCACTTATCACTATTTAACATACTAAATATTTACTTATGCCTCGGTAATATTTCTGACTCCCTTATATGAATGTGAGCTTCATAAAGGCAGGGCTATTTTTAAAAATATGTTTGTTGCTTGGGTGTGGTGGCTCACACCTGTAATCCCAGCATTTTGGGAGGCCAAGGCAGGCGGATCATCTGAGGTCAGGAGTTCGAGACCAGGCTGGTCAACACAGTGGAATCCTGTCTCGAATAAAAATACAAAAAATTAGCCGGGCATGGTGGGCTACTTGGCAGGTTAAGGCAGGAGAATTGCTTGAATCCAGGAGGCAGGCAGTGGTTGTAGTGAGCTGAGATTGCCCCACTGCATTCCAGCCTAGCTGACAGAGTGAGACTCCGTCTCAGAAAAAAAAAAAAAAAAGTTTATCTATCTCTGTATTTTCATTTGTTTCTGTATCCTTTACTTAGGTGCTTAATAAATACTTGCAGCTATAAATATAATTGAATGAACACAGAGATTTGTTCAAGTTCACAAAACCAAGAAGCAGCAGAGTAGCAATAAACAAAGGCAGAACTATCCTAATGTTGAAATCCATATTCTTTGCAATATCTCCGAAGCACCATGGGACAGAGGAAATAAGTAGATGATTCAAATCACTATAGAAGACATCTAGAAAGAGGACATTTAAAACTATTACTGTCTTTGATTCTTTCCACTGTTATTAGATTTTTTAAAAACCACTTATTTCTTCAAGAAAGTAAATATGGTATTCAAAAGTAAAGAAAAAGGAAGAAAGTAAACTTTTGTTGAGGAGGTTTGAAAGCTTATAAGAAAAAAAGAGCAACAGTTAGAAAACACTGCTCTGAAAGGTATCATCATGGAGTATCAATTTGCTTTTAAAACGGTTATCATGCAAGGTTATCCTTCATAAAATATACCATCAATACTTTTCACATATTCCAAATACTCAGCTCTAATTTCACTATATAAAGAATTAAATTTTAAATAGGGAATAATATTATATAAACTGTCATGGTTTGTTTTCTGAAGTTACACAAAAGCACAGTTCCCGGTGCTAAAGTCACCAGAAGAAAGGAAAAGTGGAGATACTCTAATCTCCTATCAATTTCTTTTATGAAACACTTAAAACCCAAACTTCACTGGCTCAGATAATTAATCATTGGAGACCTAAAAGAAATGAGCTTGTTAAGTAGGAAGCAGAAGAAATCACTTCCTTGTACTCTTGATGATAGGTCAATATTGATCCATTACCCGTACTGTGTTCCAGCAATGGTGAAATTAGAGAGCCAAAACAAAAGCCCAGGCCAGGGATCAAAACTACAATTTTGATGCAATTCTGATACAACTGTCTACCAAATAAGTAAAGGAAATGAGTAAGGAACCCTAGACAGAAAAAACAAGTAACACTTTTGCTTTTTTGAGACATGGTAAAAAAAGATACCTGAGTCTCTCCTTAACCTTCCATAAGTATAACACTAGCAGAAAAGTAAAGATAAATACCAAATAATCACAACTGACCTTGCACCTCAACTATGGAATGGTTGAAACTGTGTTCAAGAGTCTAACTTCCACCTAAAGGTGCTATCCATTACTAAGTGTTAACCAATTTCTGCCTTAAGAAAAAAGCAGGGGGATGAGAAGGGTGGGGGTGGGGCTTAGTTCTGAATTAAGAAACAAGACATCAGGATTTTCATGTAAAATTCCATGTGTAAGTATTTTATGAAATACTATGAAAGATAAACTGAAACTTTTTGGGATTGCATTCTTTCCTTGGCCCAGCAGTTTGTAATTTATGACCTTGGTTATATGTATGGCTCTGAAAACTACACAGTACCTGTAGTTAGAAGCTTCATGACTAACTCCACCTTGAATGGTAAACAGTAAAGCTGAACAGTATAGGGATTAAAGATAATCGGCCTTAGAGTGAGATGAATAAGTGTGTGTGTGTGTGTGTGTGTGTGTGTATATATATATATAAAATGAATATGTGTATATATATAATGAGTGTATATACATATAACGACTGTGTGTATATATATCTATAGATAGAGATATATAAGTTGATTCACTTTCCTAAACGTCATCTGTAAATGGGGATGATACTATTGAGAGTTGTATACAGTAAGAAATAAAATAGCATGTGAAAAAAATTTATCTATTAAGTACTTCTAACATAACAGTTATCATAATTATTTTTATCACTGTTTCATCATGGGATTTTATCATTCCTTGCTTTTTAAAATCATGTACTATAAACCCAGAAAGCACCAATCTAAAAGTATGAGAACAAGTTTTATTTCTCTAAAACCCAAAAAATACTTTCATACTTGAGGAAAAATGAGGAGAGGGGATCATGGAGATTGAACTTGTAATTTTTAATAGTATTCTTCTATTTGTTAAAAATGGGATGTTTTGTATTTTGTTGTTAGATTTTACATATATAATATATATATAACTATAGTTTTTTTATGCAAAATACAAAAGTAAAAATATTTTAAAAACAGAAAATAATACATCTTTTCTTCTTCCTATCCTTATGCATTATATCTTAATTTACAGATGTTTTACAGGTTTTTGGTGGTTTAATGCTTTTTTTGTGGAATTAACCACATTCAAACTAATTGAACTAATTAACACTGGCACATGTTGTATGGTACACAAAATTATAACAGAAAGATATCAAGAAACAGGGAATGAAAATGTTGAATGTACACAACAGGAATTTCAGTTGTACAGATTACCTGTTCAAGAGGAACATGATTCACCAAGCCACTGACAACTGTCCTTGGGGCTATTTCTCCAACATCTACTTCTTCTACATACAAAGAATCTGCATCAGGGTGTTTTCTGGCAGTTATGATGCAACCAATTCGAAAATCCAGACGGGAAACATCTATTGGCTTAGAGTCGGCACTTCCAGCTACTGATTGCTGTTTTTTCTCCTTCTTCTCTCCTAAAAAGTATGAATGGATAAACATCAGAAATAAAACCAAACAAAAAAACACTATGAAAACTCCATGGTATCAATATTGAAGAGCTTAAAAGGAAAAAACAAAAGAACGTTTATCTCCTACCTTCACTTAAATAATAACAAAGAAAAAAATTATCCAAGTCATAAAATTTTGAATCCTATTTTATCTATTTCTCTGTTGTATTTCTATGTGAAGACATGGTGTGAGGTTGGCAAACTATGGCTCATGGGACAAATCCAGCCTGTTGCCTGTTTTCAAAAATAAAGTTTTACTGGAAGACAACCATATTCATTCATTTACATATCATCTATGGGTACTTTTGCAACGGGGCAAAGTTGAGTAGTTGTGACAAAGGCTTTAGGCAGAAAAAGTTTGCCTTTCCCTGAAACAGGACAACAGAGAAACCTCTAAAAATTTTTACTACGACTCTTTGGAAGGTGATAAATACTTTACTTAGAAAGAACACCACAACCAGTACCCAAATGACAGAATGAACTAGAGTGGAATACAATTTCACTGATAAAGTATTTTTCTCCTCACTTACATAAACTTATAAGTATGTAATTAATTTCTCCATTTATTAGATTTCCCTGAAAATGTATTAGGATTTCAGGGTTATCCACAGTCACTATTTAAGCAGATAAGAATATTTTATTCTGATTATGTTTTCATAATTACATTTTTATTTATTTGCTGATAATGTATCTCTTACTAACACATGATTATTTTAGCTACTGAGTTAATTGTAACCTGCAAAGAGGACTCATATTCTGTAGGTTTACAATTAGCTTTTCTGGCCCCAAAAAAGTAAAACCAAAATAAAACCTTATTTACCTTTGAATCGAAAGTATAAAGATGAGCTGTTGTAGCTCGGAAGCATTCTTTCTCAAGTATAGATTTATTTAATCTTTCAACATATATTTACTGAGTGCTATGACACCGGAAATAGTAAGATGGGCAGTCCATATTGTCAAGGCACTCAGAATCTCTTTTAAAGAAGACAGACATGTATACGTATAATGAATATGTGATAAACATTACCTACACAAAGAAATATAAAAACTCAGTGAAGAATAATTACGCATGAAGCAGGAAAGGAGGATTCTGTGTAAAGGTACTCATAATTCATACAACAATAAGTTTACCAAAGAGAGGATGGAACTAACTTAAAATACTGGCCAATTTTTAATCTCATTAGCAAGTTTTAAAAAAATTCCATTTTCCATAAAGAAATTAGCAAAAGTTTTTTAAATGGTAAGAATCCAAATTATACAGAAAAATATGTACAATAAAATTACCAGAATATACCAAAAAATCTTAATTTTTGTGTGATAAAGTATATGCATTTACTTAAAAAATACTGTACTATAACAATATATCTATATTTGTATGTATTTTAAAACTCGAATCTACTTCCTAGGCATTTGAAATACTTTTATCAGGAATTCCCATTCTAGAAATGATTGCAAATATTAAAATCTATACCAAGATATTTGTTAATTATCATAGGGAATTTCGGAAATATTTCACTGACAAATGGGTGATGCTCAATTAAGATATGTGGCAGTCTGGCTGGGCATGGTGGCTCACGCCTATAATCCCAGCACTTTGGGAGGCTGAGGCAGGTGGATCAACCGAGATCAGGGGTTCAAGACCAGCCTGACCAATATGGTGAACCCCTGTCTCTATTAAAAATACAAAAATTAGCCAGGTGTGGTGGCATGCACCTGTAGTCCCAGCTACTCGAGAGGCTAAGAGAGAATTGCTTGAACCCGGGAGGTGAAGGTTGAAGTGAGCTGAGATTATGCCACTGTACTCCAGCCTGGGTGACAGAGCAAGAGTCCGTCTCAAAAAAAAAAAAAAAGAAAAGAAAAAAGATATGTAGCAGTCTGGAAAGATTATATGGGCACCACAGCCCTTGCATGAGCAGAATCTGGTAGTCTTAGCTAGCAGCTAAACACGGATGGAACAGCCCTCTATAACCAGCATCGTCTAATATGGTAGCTGCCAGCCACATAGGTTATTTCAATTTCAATTTAAAATTACTTTAATTAGAAATTCAGTTTAGTCATATTACCCACATTTCAAATCTTTAATGACCACATGTGGTCATTGGTTACCGTGCTGGATAATGCAGATATAGAGTATTTCCATTATCACAGGAAGTTACATTGGATAGAACCGTTCTAATCCTATAACTCCATTTGTTCGTGTGGTCCTGTGTGCTCCCTCTTCCATCAAAGGAGAGCCTTGTTGCCTTCTCTAACTAGAAGACTGATTAATCCTGAATCAGAACAGTGCACCCTCCTTAGAGAACAGAATATGGATTCCACTAAGTTTGCAAGAACAGGTTATATAGTTGTTTTGTGTCTACTTCTTAACATATTTTATAAACTAGAAGAATTAGTCCGACTCGCTTTCATTATAATCATACCACCTAGTGGTGAAGTTGTATAGCAGAGGCTGTACAGCCCCTACCTACTTCTAACTAAGAGGTTACTGATGTTTGCCAAAGGAACTGGCAAGTGATTTAGAGGCTAAACTGGCTTGGGTTAGTTCATAAATCCCCCTGTCATGTTATATTTTCCAAAAAAAAAAAAAGTAAGTAAGTTTAAGTATAATGAGAGATATTCATAATTATTTATAAAGGCACCTTTTTAGACATATCTGGGGAAAGGAAGTCAGAAATCTTAGTTCAGACAGTCTGCTTTGACTGGTGGAATGTTCTTTTCCTATCTTCACAACTGTCCTAAGCCAGTTTCCTATCTCTGACTTCTCTCAAACCATGCCACAAATAGATACCAAAATTCAGCCACACCAAACTACATATGGGTTTCTATACTTAATGTTTACTGTCTTATGTTTTAACTTATGCCAGTCCCTCTGCCTAAAATGCCACGTTTACCCCGTTAATCTGGTCAATATTCACACACCATTTAGGACTCAGCTTGTATGTTCCAATACCATATTGTTCCTAATTTTATCCTAGCTCATGAAAGTTGAACTTTATTTTTGATACTATTATTATTATCATTATCAAAATTTGACATTTTCTGATAATCCAGTCAAGAGCTAAATATGTTTAAAGGTCGAAAATACCTTTTTTTTCAATTTTCTCTTTTGCTTTCTTTTCGTCTCCTGTTCCTCCTTTTATCTGTTCTTTGGTACCAGAAGATACAGCTGTTACTGGTGTAGACTGTACCACATTTTCAGAAACCATAGAATTAGCTTGCAGTGGAGTACCAGATGGAAATGGTATTTGCTTCACTGAGACAGAAAATGAAATAATGTCATTCATATTAAACCAATAAATATGATAAAAAATATGAAATTGTGAACCATAAATAGAAACTCTTTTTAAATGAAAAATTCACTGTATATGGCTATCAAATATCCACTGTCTGAGAGTATAAAATGGCTGCCAAAAAATTAAGCATATTTTAGCCTTTATTGAGGTATCAAAGAATAAAGGCATGATTCCCATTTAATTAATAACTACTAAACTAAGAAACCTGCAGATAAGAACAACAGCTAACATGTATTATGAACTTACTATGTCCCAAACACTTTTCAAAATGCTTTATACGAATTAACTGATGTAATTCTCATACTCTAAGAAGTAGGTTCTATTCATGCCCCCATTTTATTGATAAATCTGAGTCATTCAGAAGTTATGAAGTTGTCCAAGTTGCCTGGATATAGATTCTTACTTCTTTCCTCACTGTTAGTGTGACTGGCCAACTTCTTAACTTCTGGATTACTCACTTTCTATATTTAATTACCTCCATTTTGAATTTCTGCCTGAATTAGCTCTTGTTTCAGTTCTTCAATTTCTTTCTTCAGTTTAGCATTTTCAACTCGAAGTTTCTTCTCTTCCCTCAAAGTTGCTTGCAAAACTAGGATCAAGAACATCTAGTTAAAATACATTTTTTAAAAAAGGTTTTGTATGAATACTATTTGAAAAGAAGACAGCCAGTATAACTAGAGCTAGGATAATACTAGCTCTAGTGTAACCAAATGTTTGGCCAGTGCCTTTATGCCAGTTTAGTATTTATTAAAACAACATGATATTTAAGAGAGAGAGTGAAAGGGAGAGAAAATATATGAAATAAGAGTAAAACAGAAAGACTTTGTTTATGAATCATTTTCCTAACTCCTATTAAGATGCTAACTAAGATCAAATTAACACCTTTTCAGCATTGCAGCTATAATAAAGGGCAATGATAAATAACTTAAGAAGCTGGCACAAAAGTGCCTATGTGGCCAGGCGCAGTGGCTTATGCCTGTAATCCCATAATCCCAGCACTTTCAGAGGCAAGAGGATCACTTGAGCCCAGTAGTTTGAGACCAGCCTGGGCAACATGGCAAAACCCCATCTCTACAACAAACACAAAAAGTAGCTGGGGGTTGTGGTACATTCCTGTGGTTCCAGCTACTCAGGAGGCTGAGGTGCGAGGACGGATTGAGCCTTGGAGGTTGAGGCTGCAGTGTGAGCCGAGATAGTGCCACTGTACTCCATCCTGGGTAACAGAGCAAGACCCTGTCTCAAAAATATTTAAAACAATAAAAAATAAAATGTCAATAACAGATACTGAAAAAAAGAGAAGCATTATATTAAATTAAACATATATTTTTTTATGAAGTCTGAGATGTTACCACACAAGCAAAAACTATTCTCATGTCTTTCTTTTTACCTTTTCTCATTACCTTTTAAAAGAAGCTGAATATTGCTAAAGTCTGAATTAAGCTAATCGAACATTCAATGAGCGAAATAACCCAAGGATTTGCTCAAAATATAATGTATGTGTTAAAGGTGTGCAATGGGGCAACAAAAATATGAGAGAAAAATAATGGTTCTCAGTGGGGTTGGTACTGCTTTGTAGGTAGGATTTTGAAAATCTGTAGGATTATTTTTGATTGTTAGTACTGGCATTTATTGGGCAGAGGCCAAGAATGCCAGATGTCCTGCAGTATGCTGGATACTCCTACAAAATGAAGAACTGTTTCACATTCTGCAGAACTTTCTAGTGGCCTATTATAAATTTGCATAGGTAAAAATCCTATTAACAATTATTTGAGCCTAGATTTTAACTATTCTTTATGTATAAACACAAAGTATTTTTAAGCATGCTTATTATACCCTAAATTTTCTATGAATCAAGTACCACATAAATCAAGAGTAGACTGTACCTCGTTTTATTCAAAGTATTATCTAATCAATCACTCATCATTTTGAATAAATCATCTACATCACTATCTGCTTCTGGTATCTGAGATACCCACAAAAGCAGTCTGACTATACATCTATACTAGTTGGCATTGTACCTATTGCATTCTTGATGATTCCTTGTATGTGAATCATGTGGCATGTGACCCTGTTACACTGCCTTTAGTGGTATAATCCTGCTGAAGCATTACTTACTGAAATACATATTATTGTTACTACTACTTATACCTTTCTTTTTATTTCTCTTCTCTATTATATATAGGATTACGATATGTTTTAAAATTATATAGAGGTAGGTTATTTTTCTAGGAAATGTTTTCCTTACAGGATATTAACAGAGATTTTATAAAGCATTTATTCTAAATTGGGAGCAATTTGACCAAAAACTACCAGCATAGGCTACCAAAGAATAATATAAAAGTGAAGAATAAGTAGAAAGATTTTCGAACTGGCAAAACTAAAATGCTTGTCAAGATGCTACGAAATGGCCACCTATAGAAGACAAAATTCGATTTATAACATATATTATATTCTACAAGCAATGACCATGTCCAATCTCTTCATCTTATTAATAAAAAGAGAGTAAGAATTTTAAGAAAAATAATTTTAAAATCTCAAGAAACATTATTAAAAAAGAAACAAATAAAGTGGTATGGTAAAATTAGAAAAAAAAATTGACAACGTTTCTGGAGAGTAAATACAGGTTTTTGTAAGCCATTAGCTTATAAAATGTAGGAAAGTATTTCTACTAGTGACAGCAAAAGATTTTGAAATTTCTATTCTGACATTGACTATTGAGAATAAAATACATTTAAACAAACAAAACCAAAGCCAACTGAAGTCCTGAAGGTAGAGGTTCAGGTTTGATATTTTTCCACATATAACAGAAACTTCTAAGTAAAACTTAAATAACTTATATGGTAAACATTATTACCTCTCCGTCAATGTATGAATTCATTTTAAGTATCTCCTTAAACATTTAAAATTTTCTTACTTGCTTTCTCCTTAAGTAGAGAAATTTGCTGCTTAAGATATTCAATGATTTGATCTGCCTCTGCACCCTTCTGCTCCAGTCTCTTCAGAACAGCATCATTATTTGCCATTTTTGCCAAGAGACGGCAGAAAATCCTAGATGAAAAAATAAAAGTCATAAATTACACTGTGAAAAGAATAAATTTATACTATAGGACATTATGAAAAAGCAGTCTGAAAGGAAAAACATTTTCTACTGTAATAGATAAATATGTTAGAAAAATATGTTTCCTATGGAGAGCAACAAGCCAAACAAATAGCAGAAATGCTAAGTAGAATAATTCCTGAATCTATTTAGAAGAGGAAATATAGTTTGTTGCTAAATGCAGAAAACAGGTTATTTAGCCACATTTAAGGCTGAAAGGTTTTAAAGAAAGCTTCAGGTACACTAAGAGATAAGAATACCAATAATCTTAACTATGCTAATGAGAATTACACCTTTGTTCCAAAGTAAAGAGTTGCTGATTTCATCCCTTTTATATTTCTATATACTGGATCTTTCTACTGTGTATTCACCTAGGTACAATTTTCAAGAAAAAAAATGTCAATTAGGAAAGACAAATATTAAAAGAAAAAAATCAACAATTAAGAAAATATTAATCATATGCTTGTTCAGATATAATGTCAACATATACCATTGTCTTTATTTTAAAAATTAGAATTTGATTTTTATAATAAATTCAGAGAAATTTAAAAAAAATACTACCAAGGTACAGAAAAATGTATTCAATAAACATTCTGAGATTAATTCACCATGTTAAAGTTTAAACTGCCACATACTAAAAAAAATAATACATTGACAATGGAGAGGGTTAATCGTTAGTAATACTATGAACTGTTCTTTTCTACCTGATTTAACAAGAATTTATAATTCAAGGTATAACAATGATACAAGCATTGCTGAAATAATTTTCACTTTAAATAAATGAAGCAGCACTCAATATTAATGGTGAAATTTTGAATAAAAACTAGATAAGACACATAATAACAGATTGTTTGAAAATTTCAAATTATTATATAATATCAATCTTATATAAAAAATATTCTGAAAAGCCACAATAAACTGCCTGGTATTTATTTTTGAGGTGACTGTCTAGACCTGTTGGCTCATTTTTGAGCATTAGTCTATACTTAAATATCAGTTAAGACACTAGTTTTCTAGTTTTTTTCTTAATTTTGAAATTTGAACAAGATGATTTGAGCTATATCTTTTCAAAATGTATTTTTCTAAAATGTACCACTAATTCACATTCATTTTAGTATTATTCATCAAAGATGTCTTGACTAGAGATGTAAAAGTTGCCAATTCTGCCTAATCAGATACTATAATGTTTGTGACAGCTATATTTCACCTATTGAGTATATTTCATCATTACTTACGTTAGACTAAAGTAGAAAGACATTAAAATAAAGAAATGCTGTAACTAAGGATACCAACATTCAGAAGAGCACAGTTTTGTTTTGTTTTTTACTTTAACTTTCTTCATATATCCATTTCTATTAAGATATTTTCTCTACAATTCTGGCTTTGCAAACGTTTAAGTAACAATATGGTATTCTGTGTTCATTTTGGTAAAAATAGCAGAGTTTAAAAGGTGGCATCTTCATTAGAATTTTTGTGCTTTTTTGGTCGGTATTTTTCTAAACTGTTAAAATAATAGTCCGTATAGAATAATGCTCATAAATAAGCCAACAGTTCTAGACAGTCACTTCAAAAGTAAATACCCACCAAGTTGTTGAAACTCATGTTCTGACTCATACAAAAACATTTAAAAAATCTGCTAGGACTAACATTAATTTGGAAAATAGAGATAATAAATCCAGCCTAAGAGAAAAAAATACAATTTTACTGAGTGGATAAATTTGTTAACTATTTACAAAATATAATTGGAATAATGAGTTACACAAAATATGACCTTACAATACATACTGAAGAACAAGCGTAAGTTTAGGAAAGAGAATATCATGTTTCAAAATACAGATATACAATGAACTAAACACTAAACACACATATGCAACTACTAAGAGGAAACAATGTGAGAAAAAGAAGCGATAAAACTTTTTTTTTGAGACAGAGTCGTGTTTCTCACCCAGGCTGGAGTGCAGTGCCATGATCTTGGCTCACTGCAACCTCCGCCTCCTGGGTTCAAGCTATTCTTCTGCCTTAGCCTCCCAAATAGCCAGGATTACAGATACCTGCCACCTGGCTAATTTTTGAATTTTTAGTAGAGACGGGGTTTCATCACGTGGCCAGGCTGGTCTCAAAATCCTGACCTCCCTCAACTGATCTGCCCGCCTCGACTTCCCAAGGTGCTGGGATTATAGGTGTGAGCCACTGCACTAGTGCCCAGCCTCTAATTCTCCAGTCCTACATAACTGGTTATCTGGAAATATTATTCATGATGCCAACATTAAAAATGTCTCATCTCGTGAAATCTAAAAATATTCCACTTCTAGTTACGTCTGTCTTAACAGAACTTTTCTCAAATGCTAAAAGCCATTTGTTGTCTTTAGAACAGAAGCTCTGAAAACAGGTTTTCTAACACTTGTTGATTAATTATCATTTAAATTTTTAAAAAATATAAGTTGGGTGCATACGTTTATGTTAATGTTTTCTAGTAACATGCAGATAATGATCACTAGCACTGGCAAAGGAACATAGGTTTTTTTCAGAGTGTTTATAAACAAGCTTTGGGTCAATCATATACTTAGGCTGTGGGACCTTGGTAAAATTATCTAAATTTTCTATACTTCATTTTCTTAATTTATAAAATTACTTGTACCTGATTTCACCTCCTACTTCCTTGTCACCTCCTTTCAGGGCTCCTTTTTCTTTATCTGTCCCATTAATGATGATGTTCTTCAGGGTTTGGTCTTAACCGCTAATCTTTTCTAGGGATCACAAACTAGCCTGACAAAGTTCAGGGGTATCTTTCTTTTCCAGGGCTAACAGTGTTGGAAATAACTGATGTGAATGTCTTTAAGTAGGACAGACAGACACTTTACTACTCCCTGTTGTCTGCTATTTATATTACCTGCCAGGTTCCTAAAATAAGTTCATGACCCGAACTTTATACTCGCTGATTTTGTGTCATGTGCTGGGTTTATAGTAGAGAATAAAAATAAACATGTTCTTTGAACTAACTAAGCTTTCAGACAAATGGGGGAAACACAGTTGAAGACATGTTTTAAAATAATGTTATGCTTAAGGCACAGCGATAGTTTAACAACAATACTGCTTAGAGCTCAAACAAATCTTTTACCATTCAACCCAGTACTCATTTCATTAATCTCTATGCCAGTTACTCCCCTGTGATTTTTCAATTTTACACTGAATATAAGTTAACCTTCAAAATTTTAAATCCTCAGAGTTTCTAATATGCTAATATGTATAAGGTTTCTCACTGATGATAATAACAACTACATATATTTGTAGAACATATACTATGGCTGGCTAAATGCTTTACACAAGTCAATTTCAAATATTGTAATAATCTCCATTATACAGAGAAGAAAACTTGAATTAAAATTAATTTGCCTCACGTAATACTTAGTAAATGAGGACTGAAACTCAGGTCTGTCTGATGCTGCAGTTAGCTCTTTTAATGCTCTAGCTATAATTTCTCTAAAGGATATAAATACAAAGCATTTTCCAGTATATTTCATGACAGAATCCTAACCCAGGAATACCTATTAACATTCGTTTGAACTAGTATTCTCTAAAACAGTTTGGGAAATGCTGGTTTAAGTCTCTGGACTAAAATTAAAAAAAAATCAAGACTGTGAGATTAAAATAGATATAACAATTACATGCACAGTAATTGAAAATATAAAACATTTATGAAGAGAAAAGCACAGAAAACAGTAGACCAAGTATGTTAATTGTGTTTGATTGGTGAGAATCAAGACTTTTTCTTTTTCCTGTACTAAATTAAAATGGTAATAATGCATTTTTTATATCAAAAGCTTTTGAAACATATTATCTAAATCATTCTGCCCCTTCACATTAATTTTGTCCTTCTCAATGTTAATTATCATATTTCATCAAAGCTAAAAAGCCATTCATCATATGATACCTCTAATGCAGAATCTCAAATACTGTACATGAATTTATAGTACACATTAATCATTAAAATATACACACAAAAGATAATTTTTGAGATTCTGAGATCTTCATGATCATTTTTGTTCACTCAGCAATTTCCTCAGGAGTCCTCCCCACCCCACCTACATTGCCTGCGATCTCTTTTCAAAAGCCAAATCTCTGTCCTACGATGACAACATTGGGAATCAAACATAAGTCAGTTACTACTTTGAAATCAAAGTTTTACAAGCAGATTTTTAATTTTAGAATTCCTATGCTATATAGGAACTCTACACAAATTTGAAAGTGTCTCTACTCAAAACCTCTAATTACACTATTTCGAAATTACAGTAGGTAAAAATTTACATTTTTGTTGGAAGCTTTAAATACTATATTTCAAGAAATCTAAAATGCCATCAATTGTAAAATGGCTTCAATCCCAAGAAGCTCTATTATTTTATGTACCAGTATGAAAAAAAAAACCACTATTGAATCAACTGACCCAATGCTTTCTTATCACTTAGACATATCTACATTATTTATTAAAAGACTTCTTTTACATTTAACCCTGGATTTTTATCTTGTATCACCCTTTTGTTTTCCCTCATACACAGTAACTTTTCATTCTAATGCTGATCATAATCTTCTAAATGATCTTTAAAAGGGAAATTAAACTCAACAACTATATGCCAACACTGCACATATAACTCAAACTGAAATAATGAGAAGATTAAGTTATGACTAAGTGTGTGTAAGTGTGGGCAATGACAAATATCTCACAACTGCCAATTCATCGACAGTGATTTAAAGATGTCAACAATTTAAAAATCATCCCTATTTCAGAGATGTATATATGAGAAAAATGTGTATATCAGAATTGATAGACTATAGTAATTTTAATCATTTTTTTCCTTTCTTCTCCTCCCTTCATTCCTCTTCTTGCCTTCCAACTTCTTTCCCTGATTTGCGATTTGCTACACAGTCTAGTTACTGGATATCTAAGAATGTTACAGTATACATAAAATACCCCACACTGAAAGAACGTCCCTATTATAGTGTTAAGCAATGTGGTACCTTTTAGAACTAGGTGAAAATTCCTGCTAGGATTTAAATCATATGTGTCAAAAGTCAGAATTTAAAGAAGAAAATTAAATACACTGAGAACAATGCATCTCAAGACACTCAAAATATGTAAGTGCAGCAACCAGCAGTAATTCCATAGGCCTTTTATCAACCTTTGCCAAAACCTATAAAAAGAATATCTAAAATTGCTTTTTTATGAAAGTTCCTATTTATTCTTGTTTCCCTTACCAGAGAGCCTGCTTTCCCCTTACTGATGAGAACACAGGGGGTCCTGGGTAAAGAGTCCATAAAATTTAGAAAGGAGTATGCCTTGGCCTCCCATGACCCTCTTACCTCACAATAAGGCCATCTTTTACCTGGTTCAGATTTGCAGACTAGGTCCATTAGATACCTTGTCATTAAATACCTATAATATACCCTAATCTTTGTAATCTTGACAGGTATTATTTCCATTTTATAGACAGATCCAGGAAAATTACATGACTTATCGGAATCCCTTCAAGTATCACAGAGCAAAGCCATGATTTTAACTTGCGTTTGCCACTCTGAAACTCACACTGGAATTCCTTTTTAAAGTGTCCTTCAAAGTCTAATTAAATAAAATTAACCCTGTCATCTATAATACTCTTACATATCCAAATTAAGTACATCAAGAATATCACTGGCCATTTTTTACCACCCATAGTCAAACCACCATTATGCTTCCTCTGGATTATTGCAACACTCTCTGTATTGGTCTCTTTTCTCCTACCACGCCCTCCTCTGTGTATTTTCCTTTATGAGTGACCCTCTTAAAAGGAAGTCAGATTCCATCACTCTACTGCTCAAAACCCTCCAAAGTCCTATTTCATTTAGAATAAAAGTTAGATGTCCTCAAGATCTTCATGACTTGCTCGCCTTGATTTAATCTCCAGTGAAGGAATAAACCCTTTACTCAACTCTGACCTACAGGCTTCCTTGCTATTCTAGCAGGTTTCTGCTTCATGACCTTTGCAATGGCTGGTCCCTCTGTCTGACAGCACTTCCCCAAGATATTCGCATGGTTACATCTCCCACTTCTGTCAGCCCTTTACTTCAAAGTTATCTTTTCAGCAAGACCTTCCTGTGTCACTCTATAACCTTCTTCCCTGCTTTGCATTTCTCTTCAGGACTATCACGACCTAAAATACAGCATGTTTCTAATTACTTTGCTTAGTATGTGCCTTCCTCACTAAAATGTGAGCTACAAGTAGACAAAGATTTCTGTCTGTCTTGTTCACTGCTCTTCACCTAATGCCGAGAACAGTGCCTGGAATAGAGTGGGCGCTTAATAACTATTCGCTGAATGAATAAATTCCCGTCTTCACCCTTCTCTCCCCCAAAGCACCCAAGTCCTTTGACACACACATTCACGTAACAGTAAATACGCTTAGGGATCGATATTTTTCGGTAGCATTCTTAACTTAGCCCTGCATCCCATTTCTCAAACGTGGCTCCTTTAGAAGGAGGTCTCAAGCTCTTTCCAGTTTCCTCAGGCCAGGGCTGGTCCTGGTGCGAACGGACTACCCGTTAGCAACCTCAGGCCAGGTCCTCTCTCCTGGAGGCAAGTTACAGAAGGAAGACCCCTACGATCGCAATCCGCGATCCCCGAGTGAGTGACCCTCCACGACGTCACTCACATGAAGCGGTGGCCACGGGTTCCGAGAAAGCCACAGCAGGAAGCATGTAAGGACAACCACCCGAGCACTCTAGCAGTGAGAAAGGACCCAATGAGGTGTCCTTGCTGAACGCCTGAGTCTTCTACAGATTCAATCGTCAATTCTTTTTTCCTCTTCCTGTGCTCAGTCCCATTAACCTTCCACACCACGCTCCTCGTCTTCCATTCCCTCACCCAGGATTTCCAATCGCCTCCTCGTCCCCCGGCACCTCTTTCTCTGTCGCTATATTTCATTTCGAGTCCAGTTTGGGCAAGGGGCAGGACGCCACAAGTCGGGGTCTTTCCTCAGTATTGGGTCGCGGTGGCTGTGAGGGCAGAAGAAAAGGCCAGGCTGAGGGGAGGGTGGAGGGTAAATAGCTGGGATCTGTGATTGGGCAAGGCCAGGCTCGCGGTCCTTGCCGGGTTCCGCGAAGGGAACCTTAGCTGACTCGGCTCGCGGGTGAAGGGCAACCTCTGAGCTCCCGGCGTTCCGGGAGCGCCTCTTGTAGGAGCACCTGAAATGCAGCGTCTAGTGCACTAAGTCGTAGCGGCAGCACCAGGCACAGCGACTGCGCTGTGGCCTGTGTAGAAGCTCCATCCCCCTTGTCTTTGTGTTTGCCTGCGTCCCCAGACTCAGAGGCAGGTATTTGGGTAATCTAGTTTTCCGTGTTGTAGTGGGTGGGGTCTGTGGGAGGTAGAGGACTATCAGGAGCAGTGAGTGGCCCCGCATGTCTTCAGAAGGGATAAGAGAACCGAGCTGTGGAGCTGCTTGCTGATGGGTACTGTCTCCATCCCTAGCTACAGCCCGCCTTTCCTGTGAATCAGGTTCACCTGAGTCCTATGGGAACTGTAGGCTCAGCAGTCGCTCTGTCACTGCCTCAAAGGAAGGCTAAAGGAGGAGGTTAGAGAATCTAGAATCTGCCCCTCCATTTCTCACCATAGAGGCAGAATTTTGCTTTGATTTGTTTCTGGCGCTCGAGGTTTAGTCAATTGTCGAAGTGTAACACCCTCTTGAGCAGTAGGAGAACGTGAAGCAGTGAAAGGAAATTACTTGAGGATTGTCAGTGGCTGCTTTTCAAGGTCCCCTGTCCTGGTTTCTATCTATCTGGGACAAAAATAACCTCTTGAGAGAATGTATATATAAAATAAATGAATTAGTATCATTTTCCTGTAGAAGAAATGTGAAACTTTTGTTCATGATAAAATCAACATCTTTTGCCCTGTTTTTTACTTTCTCTCCCCATTCGAGTCATTTAACTGTAAGTTCTTTGAGGGCAGAGATTCTGACTTGTTCATTATCCTTTGCCCACCGGCTGGAAAAACAACCGACTTAAAATAGGGGCTTCAAAATATTTGTTGAATGAATTAATTTTCAAGCCCAACTGCTTGCACTGTTGTTTGCCTCATCTAATCTCTCACTTCTGCGTTTTGTTTGTTCTTTTCCCCCAGTAGTTTTCTTCCACTCACCAGGTGTAAGCAAATGTCTGTGTGTGCATTTTTGTGTGTGAGCCTTTTTATGTACAACCATCTAAGAGGTAGTGAAAAAAGAACACTGATGAAATCTTTTATGTTAATTAGTGTTTTATCTTTTTCGGTCATTGTGTTTTATTTGGTTATTTTATTTTCAGCTAAGTGATAAAGATATCTGATTGAAAATCAAATAGTTGGCCGGGCGCGGTGACTCACGTCTGTAATCCCAGCACTTTGGGAGGTCGAGGCGGGTGGATCACCTGAGGTCAGGAGTTCAAGACAGCCTGGCCAAGATGGTGAAACACCGTCTCTACTAAAAATTAGCTGGGCGTGGTGGTGGGCGCCTGTAATCCCAGCTACTCGGGAGGCTGAGGCAGAGAATCACTTGAACCCGGGAGGTGGAAGGCTGCAGTGGGCCGAGATCATGCCACTGCACTCCAGCCTGGATGACAGACTGCGACTCCGTCTCAAAAAAAAAAAAAAAAAAAAAAAAGTATGGCATAGTAGGATTGAATAATAAGGTACAACTGTGTCACCTGTCCTATTCTCAGTACTATTCTTCAAAGATAACCACTTTTAAACTTTTTTAGGTCTGTAGGTTAAATAATAAGTTAAACCTAGTTAATTCTTTTTGTTGACTTCTTGAGATAGCCCTAAGTTAAACTAATTCTTTTTCTGTTGACTTCTTGAAATAGCCCACACCATTCACAATCTCTCTTCTCAGAATTTGGGAATAGTCATACTCATAATTTTTGGCTTTTGTATTGGTTACTTTATAATTCAAAATAATATACGTAAAATTTTCACGTCAACTTTTGAAACTATATTTGACTCCTTGTTTGGTAAAACGAGAAAAGTAGTGATTCTACCTTTTTCTTTATCACCTCAGAAACTACATTTATGCCCACTTTCTCTTAGCTGGACATTTACTTTTACATTGTCAAAGTTGATAATATATTTCTTAACTATAATATTTGCACTTTGTTCACGTGCCAAAAACCAATAAAAATAAAATGTTTACAGTATTATGGCTTTATAGTTGTTATTTAGTGCAAGTCCAAGCTGTATGCTTCGATATGTTTTTTTCCCAGAGTTTTAACTTCATGATCCCTGTGCCATAGTAAGAAGATTATTTATGATATCAAGGTCAAATGGGTTTTTCTTTCTTTCCTGCCAAGGGCAAAATATTATGCTGTAATTGAGCATGCTTTATATTTTGGACTATGTAATTACATAGTTTTTAACTATCCCTACTTTCTTAATTGCCTTTCTGCTTTCTCCTGAGGAATAGGTAGGTGGATGTGCTTTCTTCACTGAGTCTTTTCATTCTTTGTATGATGGACATAGAAGCTTCCATTCTTCTGTTTGAAGTTTTTCCCCTTGAAGCCCAATGGCTTTCTGTTTAATTTGAACAGATTGCATTCTAGTCCTTTTGAATTGCTCCTATACTGGGTTTATATTCATTCTTGGGTAAATAACATTGTTTCTCAGCCCCTCACCTTCTGTTATTCGACTTCCCCCTATTTCCCTGTAATATATCCTAAGGAAGCTTGCTCACAAAAGGCATGTGAAAGGTAATTTTATTTTTTAATGTTTGTATGGCTATAAATTATAATTTGCTCTTATGACTGATAATTTGGCTGTATATAGAATCAGAAGTATTTTCCTTCAACTCTCAATCCTTCCATGTCTTCTAACTTTTTTTTCCTTTTTTTTGAGCTGGAGTCTCGCTATGTTGCTCAGTCTGGTCTGGAACTCCTGACCTCACATGATCCTCCCACCTCAGCCTCCCAAGTATCTGGGATCACGGGCACACGCCACTGCACCAGGCTCTTTTCAAACTTTCATTATTGCTGATGAGAATGACAGTTTCACTTTAATTTGTTGATAGCGGAATCATTTTTTTCTCTCTGAATTGTTTAAAATTTTCTAGTTATGTTTGATGCTTTGAAAATGTATGGCAATGTTTATCTTCTCATAGGCTCTTAATTTTATTTTTTATGAGATAAAATTGACACATATTAAAACACACTGATTTTAAGTGGTCAATTTAATGAGTTTTGATGCATGTATTCATCCGTAGAACCACTACCAGCACAATCAAGATAGAAAATATTTCTACCACTACAGAAAGTTCCTCTGTTTCTGTTTATTCAACCCCCCTCCCCCATCTGCAGTACTATCTTCTGATTTTTATTAATACTGTAATTTAGAACTATAGTTCTGGAATTACATTTAAATGGAGTCATACAGTATGCACTCTTTTGTATCTGCTTCTTTCATAAACTTAATATTTTTGAGGTACATCCATGTTTTGGCCTGTTTGTTCCATTTTTCTTGTTAAATAGAATTTCATAGTACAAGTATGTTAACTGATTCACTTGTGAGACATTCGCATTGCTTCTGGTTTTTAGCTATTAAGAGTACAGTTCCTGTGAACATACTCATACCAGCATTTTTATGGACAAATATTTTCATTTTCTTGGTTAAACACCTAGTAAGAGTGGAATTTCTGAGTCACAAGTTAGGGATATTTTTCACTTTAGAAGAGTTTTCCAAATATTTTCCAAAATTCTTTTGCCGTTTTACACTCACACTAGCAATATATCAAAGCTCCACTTCCACATTCTCCTCAACACTTGTTATTGCCAGTCATTTTAATTTTAGCCATTGTAGAAGTTAAAGGGATTCTCATTTGCATTTCTCCCAATTAATGATATTAAGCAGTTTTTTCATGTGCTTATTGACTTTTCATGCCTTGTGTGAAAATGTATTTGTGACTTTTACCTATTTATGTATTGGCTTGTTTTATTATTGAATTGTGGTATTTATAGACTCCGAATACAGGTCAATTATATATAGACACACATATATTTGATTTTAAAAGGTTCTATGTATACATAATGTCATATGTATATATAGACAGATATAAATGATATTTCCCTTTAACTCGAAGTTTTATTTTCTCAGGTGCCTTTTGATATGCAGATGTTTTTAATTGGTGAAGTCTACTTTGTCAAAATTGTCTTTTGCGACTAGTGCTTTGTTATATCATGTCTAAGAAATCTTTTCCTAGCCTAAGGTTGTAAAGATGCTCTCTTATGTTTTCAATGAGAAGACTTAACAGTTTTACCTTTACATTGAAACCTATGATCCATTTTAGACTTTTATGGATGTATCAGTAGAAGTTAAGGTTATTATTTTTTATATGAATATCTTTTTCCAGCACCATTTGTAAAAAAGACTTTCCTTGAACTCTTTTGAGTTCTGTTGAAAATCTATTTTATTTAAAAAATTTTAAATTATGAAATATGTGGTATTAACACACACGTAGATAAATATAGAGCATGGAAATTACCAAGCATAATGATAACATGAACACCCATTAATTCACCAGCTAAAAACTAGGCTATTATTCAAGATTTTTGAAGCTTCTTGTGGATTTTTCCCTAACCTTACCCCTGCTTTAATTTGATAGTAACCATATTCTGAGTTTTTTTTTTTTAAATTCCCTTACTTATTGAACATATTCTTACAATAGATGTAAGTATTCCAGAATTATTTTTTTGTTTTGTTTTTGAGTTTTATAAAAATTGGCATATTTTATGTTATTTTTTTCAGTCAATATTAATCTGTGCT